TCCCAGATTGCGAGAGGGTGCAGGCCAGGCCGAGGGACCCCACCAGTGCATGAATCCATGCACCAGGCCTCTAGTAAGAAAAATAAAGAAGAACCTATGGAAAAGGGGTAGAGCCAATGCTCTCAGAAGATCTTTAGTGTTTCCCAGTTCAACTTATTTCTCTCTTGACTGTAAGTAAGTATCCTTGCCCACTGATTTCATAGACTTCTTGTGAAAAGTAAATTAAATCATGCAAGCAAAAGCGGTTGGTCAAGATTAACTTGACCTACACAAATGTGAACAGTAATTGTTAATAAAATAGGCTCTCTACTCATTTTGGATAACTTTGGACTGCTTTACCTAAAGACTTTGGGAAAAATAACTATATATGAATTTAATTACTCCACACATTTTTACAGTGCTTTAGCGTTCACCAGCACTTTAAACCCTCTATCTTGTTCCTTCATTGTCAAGAGTTACTATTCTTCTCCACCATTTACAGAGGCCCCATTATTAGACTGGACCATATGAAATCGCCACTTTATAGGTAAAAAATGCTCCAAGATTAAAAATTTCACATGGTTCAACCTAATAGAGTTCTAATAAAGTTGTTCATAGTTATAAGCAACACAGCTGGCTGAGTTTGGAACGAATTCTTTTGATTCCTCATCAGTCTAGGCCTCTTCCATTACTAAAAGGAGACTCTGGAAGCACTTTTTTTTTAATGGCATGTATCAATTTCTTCTCAGAAAGCAAGGAATGAAAGGGCGCGATCGCTCAGTCTGGACATTGTTGTTTCAAAACCACATTGGCCTGTTATGAAGGAATCGGGAATCGGTATTAAGTAAGTGCTGACTCCTCGCTGGGTCCTCACAATACCATCCCTCGGAGTAACGGGACGGTAAAGAGTATGTTTACAGAACACCTATCACATGCAAAAATGCACCCCGTGATTATTTCATTGGCTCCTCGCAATAACCGCATGCGGTACGTCTCATGACTGTCAGTTTACACATGGGCTGTCAGAGGATGTGACAAGCTAAACATCCGGCCCAAGGCCACACTGTAGTAACGGGAAGGG